ATGAAACAAAAAAAATGAGAATCCGTAGGTTTCTTTGTGGAAACTCATAAATAAGTGATACTATTGTTGGTGTATTTGACTTACTTGTTCAACACATATTTACAGAGGATAAGGATTATCAATAGATATGTGAATGAGACTCGACACAGGTAGTTATTGTGATTGGGTGTCATATAAAAAAGAAACAAGGATGAACCCCAACTAACAATCTAAGAAATAGTGGTTTGTCAGTCTGAAAAAAGAAAAGAAAAGAAACAATTGCAGAATTAATGAATTAAGTACTAACTACAATGATGCAAACACATTTCTGGATAGCATCTGAACTTTAGATTCTAAAGAGTGGTATTTGGCGAGAGGGAGGAAAAAGTAGATGGTATAAACCACTTTGGTGAAAGGTCAAGTGTGCATGGAAGTCCTGTGGTTAGGACAAGTATGTTTAGGGAAGTTTAGTTTTTAAAAAGACAAGTGATTCAGGAGATGGAGGAAGCGAGACATGAAAACCATCCAAGACAATGGCAGAGAAGAGTCCTGAGCAAAGAGTATTAGGCTCCCTTGTAAGAGATTTTCGGAATTTTGATGTTTATCTCAAGACCCCCTGTGGGGACTTAAGAAAAGCAATGACTGGTCACATAGTCTTAAGTCCTCAGGCCAGGCCCTGTGCTAGAATGGTCCTTCTGTATCAAGGAGAAAGAGTTGGTGTGTTGGGTAGGGTCAGGAGATGATGCTCAGGCAGAGGCATCCCTTCAGAGAGGTGGCTTGAGAGGAGCAGAAGTACGCAGAAGCAATATATTCTTCCTTGTCTGTGACAGTTCTAACTCCGTGTCTCCCAAAAACCCAGCATTGAGAGGAAGCAGGAGGGAGATGCCATCCTTGTTTTCCATACTCTCACATCGTTCCCAGGCTTGTTTCTAGAAATCTGGTTGAAGAACAAACTTAGAATCTAGTGGAATGATGTCTTCTGAGGGTGTGGTGAACACCCTCACCAGGTTGGGCAGCCAGGTACAAAGAAGACCGGGTCTTGGCCATTACATGTAATAGGCTCCTTATCAACTCAGGGTGCAGGAATACCACCAGAATAAAGGTCTAACACTGTGGCCATCATGAACAATGGCGTGGCCGGGATAGAACTCGTGGTAGGGCTTAGTGGTGCAGTTTTGTAATCTCATCTACTCAGGAGGTTGAGGCGGGAGGATCAAGGCTAGTATGGAATATAGAGCCCGCTTTAGGACAGCCTAGTAAATTAGCGAAATCTTGTGTATTAGAGAGGGGGAAGGGGACGGGGAGACCGACTTTGAATGAAGAGGAAGTCTAGATTCAAATTAAGACACAACTTTTGTCATTAGTTGCCTGACTTTCCTCATCTAAGAAGGGAGAAATAATAGTATTTTTAAAATAAGAAGCTCCGATAGTTATACGGCCTGGCACAGAAAAATTTCCAGTGAGTTTGGTACATAGCACATATTTAGGAAACACGAGAAAGTAGGCTGCCGTATTATGATAAGGAAGAGGCCAATTAGCTTCCAGGATAAATAAGTACAGCTTTCAAAGGGCTGTATTATATATTATTAGACAGTTTACATGGTTAACCAATAATACATTCTTCCTTAAGTGATGGATATATTTTACAATATAAGGATTATGAGATTTTATTATGTGTTAGGTCATGCCTTCAGCCTTATGAAGACCTATAATCATTTAATTTTCCTCCAACCCCCCAAAAGGAAATATGAATTATGTAACTCCACCTCATAGGTGGGTGTTCTGAGGCCTCAAGTCGGCTACTTACCTGAGATTTCATATAGTCAGCAAGTTGCCAAACTACATTTACTTCTATTTTAGTCTAGTCCAAAATATCCACTCTTAACTTCTACGGTTTTTCTCTTTACCTAAAAGTGTTGCTGATTTCAAACTATCTTTAGCTTATGATGCATTTTCTCAATCAATGAATGCTAAAAACACATCGCCTTAGTCAATAAAATATTCATAGGAGTCTCCCTCAACATTATTATTTTACACATAAAAGCTTATTAGAGAAAATAAACAAAGGTGATAAAAAGAGATGATTGGCTATTTCAGTTCCCATGGATAATTTCAGTAGGCATATTTTTTTTCTGGGAATATATTCAGACTTATTTTCTATCAATATATTGATGTTTGGGTGGCTCTGTATAAAGTTGTGTATATATATATATACATATATATATATATATGATTTATTTTTTGTTTGCATATGGGGTGGTGGGTGGAATATTGCTTGAAGAGGCCAGAGAGGGTTTCAGACTCCCTGGAGCTGGAGGTGTAGATGGTTGTGAATTTGCTTTCCATGGGTGCTGGGAAATGAACTTGGGTCCTCTGAAAGAGCTGCAAGCTTTCTTAACCACCAGTCCATCTCTCTATCCTCTAAAGTTGTATTTTTCTTGCATAAAATAATGGAATTATCATACACACATATTGTAAAGACACAGTCTGATCATGTAGCCCAGACTAGTCTTTAACTTGTGATCGAAAGATCTCAGAGATGCCTTAGCCTCCAGAGTGCTGGGACGGTGTTCAAGTACAGCTGATAATAATTCTGTATGTATTTCAAGCAGAATATGGTGGTGGTGGCACGCAGCTTTAGTCCCAGCACTCAGGAGGCTGAGGCAGAGGCAGGTGGACCTCTGTGAGTTCGAGGCCAGCCTGGCCTACAGAGTTCCAGGACAGTCAAGGCTACAGAGAGAACTCTTCGTCTCGAGAAACCCAAACCAAACCAAACCAAAGCAAGCAACCAACCAACCAAAAGTTATTTCAAGCCATGTTTTAATTAGCAATAGTTCTAAAAGCAAAATTCTTTTCCTACTGGGCATCGTAGCGCTGAGTATACTACATGTCACAGGGCAACGGCTCACTGAGCCTCAGTTGTTACACACTAACTATTGTCACTGCTATTCTCGCAGACGGGCTCTCTAGCACAGCTGTACCAGCACAATCTTCCAGCCCTCCTCTTCCTCCAAAGCTGGCTTTCACCGCTTAATCTTAAATGAAACTGTATTGTTTTGTTTTGCACTTATTTTAGAACTAATGCTTAAGGGTAGGCCGGTTGAATTTTCCTTCACGCTTGTTACTTCATTACTGTCTTATTGGCGTGTATAAATGCATAGAAAATTTCTCTCGTTTGTGACTTTTGGTGTGAAATTGAAAACTAAGTGCTTAAAGCGTCAGCCTTATTTTTGTTTCCTTTGTGTTTTTATAAGTAAATGTCTTAGTTGCGGCTAAGTAAGTATGACATTTTTTTGGCATTAGAAAGTAGTGTCATACTGCATCATGTATGTAGTATGAGTATATCTAAGACATGTGCATATCTGTGCCTCACTGTGCCTTAATTCACAATCACTAAGAAATGGAACCAAGTTAGCTATCCTACTAACAGATAAATAAATAAATAAATACATAAAGCATGGTGAATATACACAATGGGGTTTTATCCAACTGTAAAGAAAAATGAAACTATGGTATTTGTAGAAAAAAAAATAGTGTAGCTAGGCATGGTGAGAGACAATGCTTGCCATGAAAATATGATGACCCCGGTGCAATCCTCAGAATCCACGTGAATGTTCCAGATGTGGTGGCATGTGTTTGTAATCCCAGCACTGGGGAGGCAGAGATGGGAGGATCCTGGGGCCCAGGAGCAGCATTCTGGTGGCGGCTCTCACCAGGAAGCTTCAAGAACTTCCTGGGATACAGGCGATGCTACTCTAGGACCGATGGCAATGTTTTCCAGTTTCTTAATGCACAATTTGAGTCTGCATTCCTCCCAAAAGGAATCCTTGGCAGACAAATTGGACTGTCTACAGAAGAAAACACCAAAAAAGGACAATTGTGAGAAGCTCCAAAGAAAAGAATCGGCAGTGCCGTCAAATCTGAGCTGGCCGCCACTGGTGCATCTCTTGCTGGCATCATGGAGAAGAGGAATCGGAAACCAGACGTCAAGAAAGCTCAGTCACTGCAGGCTATCAAGGCTGCCAAGGAAGTAAAAAAGACGAAGCAGGCATCCAAGAAGCAATGGCTGCTGCCAAGGCAGCTACAAAAGCAGCTAGACAAAAGATCCTGAAGCATGTGAAGGTCTCTCTCTGCTCCCTGGGTTGGTGGAAAACGCTAACTTGGTAGATCAGCATTTTGAATGAAGATCTATCGATCAACAAACCGACCAACAACCAACAAGGTATAATGGCATATTTACCTATGCAACCAAACACTTGCATATATAAGGATGCATCTGCATATACAATAGCATATCCATGCATATATGAATATTTGCATGAGCATACCCAAATGAAACCTATGACCTTGTTAACAATAAATTAAATGATTAAAGAAACAAATGGCAAAAAGGGGTGTCAGTCTTCAAATTTGGGGGAACCTATGTGGTAAGAGATTAAGTCAGTGGGAATGGATGTGAGTCGGTGACACTGGGCAGGTTAAGAGGGATCTATCTGCTCTCATGTTTCAGTGGCTTCTGGGACTTCAGAAGTCAGGTCCCCTCTTGTTTTGTGTTTCTCAAAACCAGAGACTCTTGTTTTTCACGTAATCCACTACGAAGCAGCACTCAAAAAAAAAAAAAATAATAATAATGGTACCATAGCTGGGAGTCTTTGAAGGGGTTGGTTGTATTTATGAGATTTGATAACAGCAGTGGTCAAATAATTCCATGTTACCCACATGTCTGTACTGTTCTTCACTTTCTTATCTCAAAACAATCAATCAATCAATCAATCAAACAAACAAACAAACAACAAAAAAACCAAAAACCCCAAACTTCTACTGACAAGAAGGTATGTAAATCATATGTGTCATGCTCATACTATGAAAATACTATGTTTAGATAAAACTGGTTTGCTTTATGAATTGAACTTTAAGACATGGATTTACTTAAGTAATTAATGAATTGCCCTTACTGTGAAGTTTTCCGTGAGCAGCATAAGCCTACACTTAACTGAAACTATTTTCCTTTTCCAGCATTTGTTTCTGGCAGCCTGACTTCAATTATGGCTACTGAAGGCAATGTAAGTACCTGTATTGGCTTCTCTTAGCACGCCCAGGCTTTAGATATTTCCAGTTTGAAGAGTACGTACATTCCTTTGACCATGTAGATCCTAGTGATTAGTGGCTATTCTTGGTGGCAACTGCCTTTAGCTGCCGAGCCATCCCTCCAGCCCTCAAAGTTCGAGAAAATTGTAAAAATGTCTGTGCTTATAGGAATACGTATATGTGTTCTATGGACAGAAAAAACGGGGTCGGGGAGGGGGAAGTGTTGCCAGGGCCTTGAACATTATGCTCGTATTACTTCATTCTTAACTGAAAGGTTGAAATTTTCCAACTGGGGGAGATTAGTTTTTTGTGTGTGTAGAGGAATGGAAAGTTAAGGTAATGTGGGTGCATCTCACACTGCAGTGTTCATAGAGGTCTAGGAAGAAGAAAAGAAATCACGTGTCCTCTCTCATACCCGAACTTGCTTATGAGGTTTGTATGGATTTGTGGGTGTAAGTGTGGAGGTCGGCCCTGAGGCTAGAAATGAAATGAAAAGGGAAATGGGGTTGAAGAGGGGGAGGGTGATAAGACACACAGGACACGAACTATGAAGGAAGGTAGGAGGTAAGTAGAAGAGGGTGGGGAGGAGGAGGAGGAGGTAGAGAGGGATGGCGACAAGAAACGTTTCGGTTGGTTGAAAGTTTCATAATGAAAATCAATTGTGTGTTCTAACTAAAATGAATAAATAAAAACATCCATTTACTATGCACTCAGAATCTATTATCTGTTGGGGGGGGTCTGTGTTAGGTTAGAACTAGACATTTAATTGACCAGATAATGCGGTGGTTCAAATGAAAATCACTCCCACAGGCTCACAGGGAGCGGCACTATTGGAAAGGATTAAGACATGTGGCCTTGTTGTTTTGTTGTAGCCTTGTGAGAAGTGAGTCACTGGGGGTGGACGTTGATGTTTCAGAATCTCAAGCCAGGCCCTGTGGTCCCCTTCCTCTTCCCGCTGCCTGCCAACCCAGATGTAGAACTCTCAGCTACCTCTCCAGCCAGCCCCATATCTGCCTGGATGCTCCCATGCTTCCGGCCGTGATGAACTAAACCTCCGAACTGTAAACCTAAGTGTCTTCCTTTGTAAGGGTTGCCGTGGTCACGGTGTCTCTCCAAAGCAATAGAAACCCTAACGAAGACAGATAAATTGATGTCCACATCTTTAGAACGTAATTCTCAGGGATTAGAAGAAAACGGCTGAAGTCTACGGTGTCATCTGTGTGACCTCTGATCTGCAACCATCATCACCGTGGCTCCATTATCCCGGTCCTGGGCACCAGTGAATTCTGTTCTTGAGTGGAGGGAGACTGGCTATGTATGCAATTGCTCATTCCCTGAGCCACCCTGCACTGCATCCTCCTTCGGCCCAGCTCCTTCTGTGGCTCCATTTTCCTCTGGCCGCCATGGGCCCTGGGCGCTTCTATTAGCATCTCTCAGGCTTTTACCCTCCTTTCTTTTTCCATTCAGAAAATTAGTTCACTTTTCTGCTGTCCTTCCTCCCCTAAGTCAGATGAGACCTATTTTTGTCCCGCTCATTTCACAAGGTTTATTCGATACACTTGACCTAATCATATCCCGGGTTACACTTCATTTCCCCTAAACTAATTGTTTGCTGAGCCTCGGGAGCTGAACGGTCTGCCCGGGGCAGGGAAGCAAAGATGAGCGGCTCACCATCTCACGGAGTCGCTGGGACGTGTATGGTAAATAGTACCTACACCTTAAAACTAGAGTTAAGTATTTGGAAATTTGCTACGTGTAGGTTTTACCCATTTCGGCTAAGCAAGCTGGGTTGTTTGTAACTTGGCCGTATTCTTTTCTCTCTACTAAAGAAAAGAGTAGCATTTTTTTAGAGCCAAAGCTGGGGTTAGAACCTGAAATAATTAACTCAGCAACTTCTAGGACTTTCCTCTTTCTGTCACCTTCTGCAGAGTGAGTGACACGTGCCATTCCCTCTTCTCTTTGGGCTTTCCCTTGGGTACCTCTCCCTCCCAGCCCACCAGCCACCTAAATACTTGAGTGGGCTTTCTTTTTTTCCCAACGTAATCTTTTTATTGATTGTTTGCGAGTTTCACATAATGTACTCCGAGTACATTCACTTCCTAGTCTTCCCAGGCTCACCTCACCCCCTCCCCACCTTGTGACCTCCGCCAAAGAAAAGCAAGAGAAAAGAAAAATAAGTTAAAAAATTATCAAGTCCAACATGTTGCCCATATACTCACTGGAGCATGGTCAAACTCTCAGTGGCCAGCCCCTTAATGAAAAATGAGTTCTCCCCCCACAGGCCATCTACAGAGCTACACTTCAGGATTCCATCACAGTTTTAAAGCGTTCTCTTCAATGACTTCCTGTCTAAACTTTTTCTTTTAATTTTTTTGGGGGGTGAAATGGGGGTGGTCGTAGTGATCTGTGTTATCACCTGAGTCCATGCTGATGTCAGGGGCCTGTAGGGCTGCCAAGGGCCATGATGGTGCCCATGGTTCTTGTTATGGCCATGTACTGCCACCAGAGACCATGCTGAGGTCCATGGACTATGCTGATAGCGGAGGTCACATGGATGCCCGTGGTCCATGCTGTCACCAGAGACCACGGGAAGTCCATGATCTGTGCTGCGGCTGACTGTGGAGGGCAGGGAAGCTTCTTCTGCAGAGCTATCAATAACTGCAGGCTCACAGTTGGAAATAGGGACAGAGTGGATTCTCTGAAATGCAGTTCTCATGGTGTCCCTTAATAACTTACATTGGCTTGGTGGCGACCTATTGGACTCCAATAAGTCTGACAGCTTGAAACACGATTTACAAGGCCCCGTGTGACATGGCTTTGCCACTCAGGGCCGTTGTCTGTCACTCTATGTTGATACTTACTAGATCAGCCATGCTTACACTGTTGCATTGCATCCTTTTAGGCCTGGGTCTTTCTTTTTGTAGCATTTGATGCAATCAACTCTCAGGCTTGACTGCACACTTCTGCTAAACTCTCCTCCTTCCTCCGTGTCTCTGTTGCACCCTGTTTGAACACTTACCCTGACCCTCATTATCCTTGATCTATTGCATTCTCTCCGTTTCTTGCCATGTCTTGCCTCTCTGCCCCCCTCTGTGTGTGTATGAGTGTGTGTGCGTGTGCGTGTGTGTGTGCGTGTATGTATGTGTGTGTGTTTGTGGATGCCACAGGCCAAGATCAGATGTTTTCCTCAATTGCACTTATTTTTTGAGACTGGTCTCTCACTGGAAACTCCTGATTTGGCCAGAGTGGCAAACAAACCCCAGAAGACTCTCCTATCTCCACCTCCCTTGCTTACAATTACAGACGTGTGTCACCATGCCTGACTTTTTTACGTGGGTGCTGGGGATCAAACTCGGGTTCCCATGCTTGTGCAGTGAGAACTTTATCAGCTTAGCCATCTTTCCAGCCTCTAACCGTGTCTCTTCTGTGTTTGCCCGGAAGCTTTCTGAGAGCATGCTTAGCAATGAGTATCTGGCCTTTGGCAATGAACAATTTTCTAATAAGTGATTATTGAATGACCAAGAGCCACAGTTTATAGATAGATGTCTAAGAAAAATAATTAAGGCTATGGGTCATTGCTTCTTGGGAGATGTTTAACATGTCTAAGAATCCATATATGTATTCCTTGGCATCCATACAGCATCAATCAATCAATCAACCAACCAATAAATTGATCTAGCATGTATTATTCTTTAATACTTAATTAGAAATTCTCTGGTCTTGGATATTTTAATGGCATTTTTTTTGGTAAGAATAGAGAACAGATTTATCAGGTTTATAGATAATGGGACTGGCCCAATGCCTCTACTGCTATTCACTGCTCTTGTACCTATACTTGCAAAGCTGTCTTGCTTCTGGAGATGGTTCTTATGGAGAAGAAACTCTAAAGTTAACTCAGTTCAAAGCTGTGTGACTGTCTTTTTCTAAAGACTTATTTTAAATAACATCCCTTCACTGAATAGTGCCAGAAGATAAAATGTCAGGTAAAAGATTTCTTCTGAAACAAAGTCTACCCAAGCAAGTCACGATCATCTCCGTCTGGCACCCTACTTGTGTCCCTCTGCTCCAGTGGTCATTGTGCCTTACACTGTGGTTGTGTTCCTTGACGTGGGGTGAGTGGGGTGCTTATCCCCTGTGCTTCTTCCTGTGTAGGCTTCACAGAAGTCTCCGTATCGGCCCACTCCTCATAAAGTAGTTATTGCCTAGTTCTTTTTATGTCATTATGGCGGGTCAGCATCTTAGACTGCTTGCTGTCTTTAAGAAACCTCTGTGACCCTTTCTTTCTCTGGGCTGTGATGTGAGGGAGCCCCAGGGATGTGGTCGTAGTTACGGTGAAGAAAGGAGTTTAGTTTCACATGTCAGATCACATGAAAGGATGTGAAACCAAAGTGGCAGTGTTGTGTTGTGGGTGACATCAGCGTGAGCCCCACACTGAAGTGACAGAGCCAGCGCTGCTCTGTATGAGTCTGACATACAGATCAGGCCCTGGAGTCTGGGTCACACATCTACTCCCACGGAGCCTCATTAGGAAGGCTCCATGGGCTGCTAGAGATAGGTTAATGGGTAGGGTGGGAAGTGTTTTTGCTAATTGCCACTGGAAAACATCTGTCACCTGTCACAGGAGACTGTCTTGGGTTCCAGATTCTCGGCACTTAAATGGGACAGTTGAGACATGCTGAAAAAGGCATTGTGATTTTTGTGAAAACAGTGTGTTACGTAAAGCTAGACGTAGGCTTAGCATATTTTACTTTCAAGGAAAAGTTGAGGTCACTGTCTAGGTGGGCTGAAGTTTAGTGCCGGTTAATCTCAGGGGAGTTTTAGGGCAATACATGCGCTGGGGTAACTTTTAGATTTCCTAACATTACCAGTCTCCTTTTCCAATGTAAATGATTTGCAGTCAGGAGTAATTCCACAGCAGGAAACTTTCCAGATGATCGTCAACTCACCCTGTGACGGGAACATGGGGATGCATCCT